CCAGTCGACAACGATCAGCACGGGGTTTCAAGGCGACGCACATGGTCTGCGGCATGAGAGCCACCATCGCATGTTCCTACAAGACTATGACAATTAACATCTCAAATGATTCACAAGGGACGTGACTGCATCACGTCGATACTTCGGAACCTTTACTAAGTTGACTTTGACTTGAGTGACTTCTGCCCACGTCACCCGACATGTGCCAGCATACTTTCGACTCCAACGTCGCTTCTCCAACACTCCAACACTCCAAGTCGACAAGACAGGCTCACCAGAGCTCGCTTAACGCACTTGATGAATCAATTTGCATGCTGCTAGCACCCTTCCCGTTGTCTTTGCATCATCGCTGGTCCGGCATTCGTCTGTGAGGTTTCCACTTTTCGTTCTTCGGTGGTTCTCCAGCAGATGGTACCTGAGTCATGAGCCCGCTGGCAAGGGTCCACCTGGTACACGCAACCAATACACCTATATCGGCCCGACACCCCCTTCTCTGATTTCACAACAAGGCGACATCAATCACGACACTGCGATCTTGGGACATTGCCGAACCCAGTAATCAAACGCTGCCGAACCAAGTCAAAACGTGCCGCCGTTGCGCCGACGTGCAAGCAACTGTGGACCTGCGGCCTATATGTCCGGTAGGGCTGCATTCGGAGACAGTGCGGCGTTTTGTGTTGCAGAGTCCCGCTGCTGGGATGTGATGATGTAAGTCAGCAAAATCGCATGGCATCGTATCACGAGGCTTGAAGAGTTGGAAGTAAGGCACCGACAGAATCGCCGGCAACGGCAATACCGACAACCACGCGTCCCTATAACGTACGATATATAGCCAATGACATGGTCTGCGGCATATTGAGAGATGAAACAATAGTTTCTACTGAACAGAAATAACTCGTTGCTTCTGTGTAGCAAACAAGTATCGTCTGCATCGGAGACATTCGCAACCTAACGGTTTACAGGACAGGAAACACCTACCGCCAAGACTGGCATATTGCGAACTAACATCGATCCTAAGATACATACACGTGTCCAGCGATACAATCTCCACGATATGTTACCGGATGCTCAAGCTCAGACATGTGTATCCCATCGGCAGCATTGTCGCTATCGATTGGCATTCACCTAACCCCACCCCATCTCCGGATGTGGCACTTCCACCATAAATGATAGACAACACAACCTGGCTTAGTGAGACCATTCTGTTAGGGATTCCCCGGATCATCTTACGGCCATAACCATCTCTGGCATATATCTTTGTCCATCATCGTTAGCTGCTTCCGTGGCCGAACGTGTCAGACCTGTATCGGAACATCGGGGACTAACAAGGCAACTCAGGCGCTGACGCGCAGGCTCCTGATACAAAGTGTAGCAGAATTTTTCCTTATCGATCAGCACTGATTAACAATCTTCATTAGCACGCTATAAAGCAGAGACTGGCGGTCGGCCTTCTTCATCGCGATGTCATCTCGATGTCGAATGCGCTTGTGCTTTCCATCATGGAGGCATCTATCTCACTTGATCATGATCTGAAAGCTTATTGTCATCATTGTGGCATGTAGCGCGGTTTAACGGTCATACAGCAGAGTGTAACACCCACCTGTGCAACGTCCCATTTGCAGGTCCCCAACTCAACTGAAAACGCTTTTTTTCTTTCGGTGAAGCATTCCCAGCCAGGACAATTTGCTTGCGAGATGCTCATCGGCTCAACTTACTGCTTGACCATGGTCAGTTATCGTTGATCGAACATGGGAAAAGCGTCAGCACGGTAAACGTAAACATGATTGCCATTATATGTTTGTCCCTCGTAGTTCTTCCCACTCTTATGTTGGAAGGCAAAAAACCATCGAGCTGCTGCTGGTAAGGGGCTTTTTTGTGCCCGCACCAGTGCTCGCTTCTCCGCATGCAGAGGCCAGCATAGCAGTAGGACAGTCGGTTGCTGCACTGCAAGTACAACGGTCTCGGCGCCTAAGCTGGTTCTTCGCAGGATGGGGCAGCTTTCCGCTTAAAGGGGAGGCCGCGACCTTCAAGTACACCGTCAGCCCCTTGTTCTCGAAACCTCCGTAATAACTGGCTGCGTAACGTTTACAAATAGAAATCTGTGGAGGCTGATATTTCTTGGCTTGTTGATGGGTCGGAATGGGTTCCCTGTAAATCCCGTCTACTTGGGTCCGTCGGAATTGATCAGTGTGCTTACATATCTACGTTTCGGTCTCTCTCTTGAGTATATTTGGTTAGTTCGTGCAATGAGGATATCATTCCACATGTGAGGATATGAATTGCCCTTTTTTAGTATTTTTTCGCTGACATTGAGGTTCGGAGATGTGTGTGCAGTGTGCTTCGTAGTTCACATTTTTTTTCTTTCTCTGTGCTCTGCCTATTCACCGTGTATACGGTTATACATGACCATGTGTCAAGATGACAGAATTAGAATCATAAGATAGCAGAGACCAACACAACGCAGCAGAGAAAGAAACACAAACAGAAAACTACATCACAAAACAGTAAGCGTTCACATGGTAGCTTAGTCACGAGCCCCCCGTAGTATCCGCATCACCTACCTCTTCAGAACATCCACCCACCCGCGCGGCATAACCTTCCCACCCTCCAACCCCTCTGCCAAATACCTCTCCCCGTCAAACCCAAACTCAACCAACAAATCCTCACTCCCCCACTCCCCATTGCCACTCAGCCCCACCGGAATCTTCCCCTCGCCCTTGACACCCTCCACATACCCCACCGGAAACTGTATACACGGGATACCCGTAAAATTCGCCAACCAAACATACTCCATATTCCTAATCTGCATATTGCCATTGGTAACGCCATGAGACAGCTCCGCGGGATCAATGGGCCAGCCTGCATTGGGTGTCGTGGGCGTGACGACAATGAGACCGGGGTGCTGTTTGAAGAGGGAAGCGAGGTGTTCCATGAGCACGTTGCGCAGGCGCTGGGCGAGCAAAAAGTCTGTGGCAGGACTCTGGCGCGCAACGCTCATTAGGATGCGGTTGGGTGGTGTGAGGTCGTAGATGGAAGTCTTGTGGCCGGCGGCGCCTTCGGCCATGATGGTCATTGCGTGGGCGAGTTGGCCTTCTGTAAGGAGTGGGATGCTGATGTCGATGATTTGGTAGCCTAGTTCTGATTCAAAGTACCGTAGGGCTGAGTGGAAGGCTTCTTGTACAGAAGGGTCGGCGCGGTCGATCCAAGCTTTGTATACACCTAGCACTTTGTTTCGGGGCCCTGTGTGCTTTCTGGGTGGGCTGAACAGCGACGAGGGGTATGTTGATGGGTCGGGCTGGGCGAGTACCCGGTATGCGATTTCTAGATCCGACATGTTGCTTGCGAGGGGCCCTCGAACGGTGACGGATTTCCCAGCATCTGGCATTGGGGCGACCGAGACGCGGGAGTGGGATGGCTTCAGACCGTACAAACCGCAGTAGTTGCTAGGTATTCTGACTGAACCACCGCCATCAGATCCAATGGCAAAAGGTATGAGGCCGTGTCCTACGGCAGATGCAGCGCCGCCTGAGGAGCCGCCCGGGTAGTATGAGCTATTGTATGGATTGATTGGTGTACCCCAGTTCGGGTTGTTGTTTGTGGTATCTTTCATAGTTAGCTTTGTACCAAGGGCCGTAGACACTTGTGCTCACCCATGCCCAGTTCGTGCATGGTCAGCGTTCCGACCAGGATAGCACCTTCTTTCTCTACCATCTTTGCGCACCAGCTCGTGTCCTTGTTCCCGCCGTTGCTATAGTCGTGGGTGGTGCCAATGTAGTGCTTGTACCCCTTGACCTTGAGATCGTCCTTGACACCAAAGGGAACGCCGTCTAGTATGCCCAACGGTTTTCCTTGCTTGTATCGTTGCGTGGAGGCTTCGGCGGCTTGTCTGACCATGTCCACCTTGCTGTCCATGAAGGCTGTCGAGTAAGGCGAACGCTGTGCGACATCTCTGCGAATGAGAGGAAGAAGGTGCTCAACAACATCGGTGGGCGTAAGTGCGCCGCTCGAGTATGCGTCGTGGAAGTCTTTGATGGAGTGGAATCGGCTCGACGAGGTGTGGTTGAACGATTCGCGCAAGCTGGATTTATCTGTATAGCTGGTAGGAGCTTCGTTCGACTCGGCCACCGGTATCACGGTGGGATCGTAGCGCGGGTCGATTCCGTCGAGCTGTCTGCATTCCCGCAAGGAGCTGAAGCCGGCATTGCTCCACAGGATGCCAGGGACCACCGGTACAGTCGCGACGCTGGGTCGATTAGCTTTGTGTGGAATTGAAGAGGCTCGAATGGCTCACAGATTGGAAAGATAGTGCAGTAAAGCTCCCTTGACTATAGGGTTCTTTCCTGGAGGTGGTGCCTTGTATGGCGCGTCGTGAGGTTTGGGGGTGGGATAGTTGAAGAAGCGCGGGGACGTCTGATTGCTTCCCGACATCTTGGCTATGGCTTCACAGGACCAATTGCAAGGAGAGCTGGAAGGATGTGCAATTGGCTTGCTGGTCAGATTGTGCAGCACTTGTATACTTCTTCGCTGTCTTTATTCTGTCATTTGGTATGCCTCGGGATAGATAGCTGAAGCATTGCGCTAGCTTTCACATGTGCTAGTCGCCGTGTTTCGTCATTGCGGGAGTCCCGGTCGCAAGCTCCAAGACATCCGTCGGCCCCGTCGCACGCGACCAGAAAGGAAGTTTTCCGAACAAGGCCAGAAAAGAAGCTTTCCGAACAAGACCTGAAACAGAAGACTACATGTATTCAAAATGTGTTTGCTATTCATTGCTGCTACAGAGCCAAATGCGGAAGCTTCGTGAAAGCTTCAACTCTCCTTCCTCCTAATTCCTCTTACACCCTGAGAACAAAGACGATATAATCGTGTGCACGGCTGGTGTCCACCGGCACAGGGCCCTTGAAGCTTCAAATTTGAAGGCATAATCGTAGTGAAAACCTCTCCTGGACTTTGGGAAGCCAGCGCCGGCTGCATCCGTGTCCATTCGAAGCTACCATGTGCATCTACTGCTTGCCAGAGACCTGGTCGCCCATGCGGTTGTATTCCTTCTGCATGTTCTCGACCTGCTTCTTCAGGTTCGCCATGTCGCGGTCCTTGGCTTCAAGCTCCTTCTTGAGAGCTCCAACCTCGCCGGCACCGCCAACATCCTTCAGGGAAGAGCCCTTCTTGGTGGCTGGGTCGCCCTTCAGGGTCTTGACCTCCTCCTCGAGACGGAGAACATCGAGGATCATGACGTAGGTGCGGTTGAGGATGAGCGACAGGAAGAGGGTGAAGCCGCAAAGGTACATGTTGCGCTGCGAGTAGAACTTGCGAGCCTGGACCTCCATGCGCTCGATGCCTCCAGCAGCGACGTTTCTTGGGAAGTCAGCATTACATCCTGTACGTGGGGCATATCGACTTACCCTCCGCGGCCATTGTCGTCTGAGCCAGAAAGCTCAATCTGCACGCGGTAAACGCGGTTGACGCTGTCAATGAACAGAATCAGGATGAAGATGAAGGTAATCTTCATGCCATATTGCAGCTTTGCTATTATGGGGCTCTCCGAGATGAAGGTGAAGAGCTTGCGGCGCCATGTGAAGGGAAGAGGGACGATGAGGGCGCAGAAGATGAGCATCTCCGTCACCAGGAGCATGAAGACCTGATTGAGTTAGCACACGAGCAGTGGCTATGGGAGACATTGAAGCTTACCAGGCTGTAGTAGAGCGTCATGTTGGCTACGTGGTATTATTGTGTTTGTGTGGGCGGGGTTCAGCTGGACCAACAATGGATCTGGGAGAGCTGGTGTGCGAATACGTGCAACAGCCAGCAGGGAGACGAGAGTGGTGCGGAGGATCTGAGGGGATTGCAGGAGTGTTGATGTGAAAGTGGGAACGGAAACGCGATGTGATGTAGGGGAGCCGCCAGCCGCCAGTGCCTAGCTGTGACGTATGATCGCAGCTTTCCCAACTTGCTCACTAGCGCATGGGCCGCCGGTCTAGCCTCTTCTAGCCGCATTCGCCCTCACAATTTGAGCGAGTGCTTTTCTCTTTTGAGCAGCAACGCCAACAACACACGCGTACTGCAAGTCTGGTTTTGAAGCTTGCATAAAATGACGACAGGTGAAGAGACTTGGAAGGTTGCGCCCGCCCATCCCGCCCCGGACGGTGCCGCCACTAATGGCGTGAATGCTGGCAACGGTACCGTGAATGTGGAATCCGAACCACCTGCGAGTCCAAAGAAGAGGAACAGGACCAATAGCCAAGACATTGAGGATGCTGACACTTCTGTCAAGCGAGTCAAGGGTGTTGCGCCCATCAAGGCAGAGTACACTACACCACCAACCTGAACCACTCACGTGCTAAGAACACCAGGTTTCTGATACGCCTGGACAACAACAAGGCCGATACAAAGGACAAAGTCATCGACGACGATGCAGCCGAGGGCGCCGATGCAGAGCACAAATCTGAAGGCCTGCCCAAGACGGATGCCCGCGATGGCCCCAGAAACGGCAAGAACAGCAAGAAAGACAAAAAGCAAAAAGGCCAAAACACCAGTCGCACATTCGGCAGCTCACGCGACAAGCTACCACTCTGCGGTACTCGTGCAGTGTACAACGAATTCTCGCCAAAGGAGTGTCCGTTTGGCGAAAAGTGCAAATTTGAACATGACATCCGCAAGTACCTAAAGGAAGGCCGACGGGAAGACCTCACCACTTTCGATGGTCAATGTCCGGTCTATGCCGTCAAAGGGTTCTGTCACTTCGGCTGGAAGTGTCGATTCGTCGGCAGCCATTCCGAGGAGCGCACTACAGAAGATGGCAGGCAGGAGTTGGTTCTAAAGGAAGATCCCGAGCGCAAAGCCAAGTTCTCCAGCTTCGACGAGGAAGCAGAGGCTGAGGTGGTCAACATTGTGCCAAAGGATGTCAAGATTGGCTTGTCAAGACGGAAAATTGGCACTCCGAGGGCTGACCAGTACATTGAATGGATCGAGAAGAACCACCGCAACGAGAGGGAGATGTTCGATGCAGCTCAGATGAATATGGAGATTCTCAAGGAAGAAAAAGAGGCACGTAGGGCAGAGTACGTCGAAGCACCCTTCAGACCGTCGGAGAAGCGCAGGCTCTACTATGGACCCGAGACGCCTATGCTCGCCCCTCTCACCACCCAGGGCAACATGCCGTACCGTCGACTCTGCGTGGACTTTGGCTGCCAAGTGACTTGGAGCGAGATGGCCATGGGTATGCCACTCATCCAAGGTGACAAGGGCGAATGGCCACTTCTCAAGGCCCATGAATCCGAGATAACTCCTCCGAAATTCCTGGGCAAGAACACTGTGGTCCAGGGCTACGACAACTCCACTGATATGAAATTTGGTGCACAGATTGCTGCGAACAAGCCATGGCTAGCTACCAAGACGGTCGAGGTATTGACCGAATACTGCCCCAAGTTGCGCGCCATCGATCTCAACTGCGGATGTCCCATCAACCTCGTCTGTGAAAAGGGAAGTGGTTCCGCTCTCCTTGACAGCGAAGCAAAGCTAGAGCACATCCTCCGCGGCATGACCTATGTCTCCAAGGAAGTCCCCATCACAGTCAAGATCCGCATGGGCACCAAGGACAACCACCCCACCGCTCAAAAGCTCATCAAGCGCCTCGTCCTCGGCGGCCACGAGGCTGTAGAATCCGGAAAGGGCACCTCAGGCATCGCAGCCATTACACTGCACGGCCGAAGCAAGCAACAGCGTTACTCGCGCAGCGCGGATTGGTCCTACATTGCCGAATGCTCCGCCCTCATCAACCGCCTGCGCAAAGAACAGGCCGACCGGACAGACACCGTCGCTGAAGCTGATCCCCGTGACCTCGCCAATGGCGGCCACGTCTACTTTGTCGGCAACGGCGACTGCTACTCCCACGAGGACTACTACAACCATCTCGACAACGCCGGCGTCGACACCGTCATGGTGGGCCGCGGCGCGCTCATCAAACCCTGGCTCTTTGAGGAAATTGAAAAGGGCCAGTACCTTGACAAGTCTGCCTCGGAACGCCTGTCTTATATTGAAAAGTTTACCAAGTACGGTCTGCAGACTTGGGGTTCCGATGAGATGGGTATTGGTACGACGCGCCGTTTCTTGCTCGAGTGGCTTAGCTTCGCGCATCGCTATGTGCCTGTGGGCTTGCTGGAACATTTACCTCCTAATATCCAGGATCGCCCGCCGAGGTTTAGGGGAAGAAACGATCTGGAGACTTTGATGGCTAGTGAGCATTACAAGGATTGGATTAAGCTCAGGTATGTTTTTCTTTTGGTTGTTACTCTTGTGTTGAAATGGTTTGGCTAACGTGGGGATATAGTGAGATGTTCTTGGGTCCTGCGCATCCCAACTTCAAGTTTGAGCCTAAGCACAAGTCGAATGCGTATGAGATTGAAGCCGAGGGTTAGAGAAGGGGAAGGAATTAAGACGGTGCGTTCTGTTGGAGATGCCTGAATACATGGGCGTGTGCATTGCATGGTGAGATGAAAAGCGTGGTAGGGTTGATACATTTATATACTACTTCAATGGTGTCTTCGAGCATCTGCATATAGGCGAGTACTATTATTCCCAAAAGGGAAGAAAAAAAAGAGTCATATATCAATACCAGCATACATCTTTCATATATGTTCGCTTTCACCACCTATCAATACAGAAATCCGTTGCGTAAAGCCCCCATGTATACGTTATTTACAAGAACCCCACCAGCGTCTCCAACATGTCCTTCTCAGCCGGTTCAACAGCCAAAACGCCATCAAGCTGCGCCTGTAACGTCCTCTTGACATCCCCCAGCCCTTCATCCCGCTCCCCCAACGCCTTCTCAATCGCCACTTTGGCACCCGCATCCTCAGCCACCAACCAAGCCAACACGGCATCGATCCTCTCCAGACAATACAAGCCCTCGCTCAGCCGCTCAGGAATATTCTCTAGCTCGAAGCTCTCCAGCTCGTCTTTGCTGAGTGCTTTTCGCTTCTCGGCTAACCGTTGGTCAAAGGCGGAGAGACGGGTGACGTAGTCTCTGCGTAGGGAGACTAGTTTTGTAATCTTTTCGTAGTCCTTTTCGAGGAATTTGGCGAGGAGGCGGAAACGGGTGTCTGAATTACCGGGTAGAGAGCGCAGGAGAGAGGCGAAGATACCGAGGATGTGTTCGGTTTGTTGGGGATCGTTGTGAGATTTTTTCGTGTTGTTTGTTTTGGAGAATGTGCTGAAGAGGGGTTTGAGACCGCGCGAGTCGATGAGTTTAGTGCAGACGGCTGTTGCGCTGTTAAGTGTGCTTTCTTGTACTGGTTCCTTGCCTTTTGAAGTGCCGTTTGTTTGTGGTGCAGTGCTTTCTTCTGCGTAGCCGCAGGCGTGGTCTAATACCTTCAAGGCACGGCTCTTGCTCGTCTTGCCGTCTCGGACAAAGAGGAGACAGAGCTCCACACCCTCTGCTTCTAGAAACTTGGCTTTTCCTAGGGGTTCTTCTGTTATGGAGGATAGACAGTTGAATAGGTTCTCCATGTATTCCTCTTCATTGCTATCCTTTTCTGGGTCGTCTCTTCGGTACGGCGCAAGGTTTGTGAGGAAGATCTCGACACCGTTTGCGTCGGCTACGTGGTTTCGGTTCGGTCGCGAGGATTGGGTGAGGATGGAGAGGATTTCGGAGGCGTATTGTTTGTTCTGGGTGGTTGGTTTCTCGGGCTTTTGTATCCTGTCTAGTAGCCATTTCAGTAGAGCAGTTTCCCGCCCTATTATGTCGGTGTATGTAGGTTGTGATAGTAGGTTCTCAATGACGCTGAGGGAGTTGTAGACGCCTGATGCGTCGGCCTCATCGCTCTCGTCGAAGCGGGAGAAGTTCGATATGAGTAGACTGAATAGATCGGCGTCCATGAATGCGGTAACGAGCGCATCCCATTGTTCTTGCTCTCCTCCAACGTCTTCGTCTGTGAGCTCGGATATCATCTCAATCGCTGCGATTGCAATGTCGGTGTTCTCATGCGCCAATAGTTCCACCAGCTTGGACGCCGCGGTGCTTTTCGCAAACTCCTCGTATAGCTCCGGATGCTCTGAAAGTATGCTGAGCGCCTTTATTCCCTCGTCCAGATCGCCTTCAGACTCCATGAACTTTGTTGGGTCGTCCTCGTACTTTGCGCGCAGCGATGCGTTCTTGTTGACCTTCTTTTCAAAGTTGAGCGCCAGCTTGCGCACCCATGGCACGTCATACTTTTCCTCCCCTATCGCCTCGTCGCCGTCTTGCGCATCAATGTATTCCATAGCATCCCGCGCATTCTCATCCAGGCCATCGCCAAAGAACCGTCCTTCGTCATCGTCGCCAGGTCCTTCTTCAAAATCGGGTGGTAACGAGGGCCCCGCTTCGTCTTCGTCGTCTTCATCGGCTACTGAGGCTTGGACTGCGCCTTTGGCGTCACCATTTACGTCGAGTTTTGCGGATTTATAGGATTGGGTTGGGTCGGCTTCGTTTGGATTCTCGAACTTGCGCTTTGCGGAGCCATTTGCGCTTTTGAAGAGGTCGTCAATGCTCGTCATGATGCGCAACGCAAAATGAAGAGGACTAAAAGAAAATCGGATACAGCGAAGCGGAGTTGGTGGAGTCGTCGCGTCTTGTCGTGAAACTGATGGACAGTGAGGAACCCGTTGACGAAATGGTCCTAGCTCTGTGCTAGCGCGCCTTCTCCGCTGTGACGCCTCATGCTGTGTTGGCCCCACTTCTCCTCTCAGCTGTACCTCGCCTGCACGCTTTATTCGTTCACAGCCACGCGGCCGTATCGAGTCTCAGCCATCAGCCATAGGATCGCAGCTGCTTACCGGTTTTCAAGCTTTCCAAAGCTGATAAGATGGTGCTGCCCGATCATGGATTCATCTCTCAGTCTGCTGAACTTCCACCATGGAGCCTGATATTCCTCTGGCCACAGCGCCCAAGTCATCATTGGTCGTTAAGCTTCGCCACCAGCCTTTGTGCGCGCGATGCACTGATATGGCCCGGCGATGGTGCAAACCGCCTGAAAATTATGCCCCGTTTGAGAATCCTCTAGCTGCCCGCTGGAAGTCTCTGCGTGCGCGATGCTTCGACATGCTCCCGCGATGGTGCAAACCGCTTCAACGGTATGCCCCGTATAAGGGTCCTTCGGCTGCCCGTTGGAGGTGGACTGTTAATGAACTTACGCAAAGCTCTCCAACATGTCATTGCTGCCGGTTCCTAGCCCAGGTTCTGGAAGCAAGCCCATGGATCCAAAGCGAGGGCTGGCAAGAGCTTGTTGTTGAAACCTGCACCGTTGGATCCCAGCACATGGCAAAAACCCCTGACCACTCGGTATACAAGACTTATTACAGACCACTGGTTTATATAAACGATCACTACCCCTTGAACGGAATGAAAAACTACTCCGTCATACTTCCAATTTTACAAGTTCACGATGCTACTCCAGACGAACTCAATTCATCGATGTTTTGTAGCAGGCCTGTCAATGCCATGGTCGATCTGTCACTAGCCGCAAGCTGGCACAAGATCTGTATGTCGAGACATGAAAACTCAGCAGACGGCCATGGTTGCTGTCCAAACACACAGGAATTCCTTCCAGACTTCCGAGTCATTGACGTCCAGCAACGTTGCGTTGTAAGGACAAGTGGCAACGTCGACTATGCGGCACTCAGTTATGTCTGGGGAAACGCGAAGCGTCTTGTGCTATCCAAAGACAACGAAGCTTGGCTTACTACACCCGGCGCATTGGCACAAACCAAAGAGAACGTTCCTAAAACCTTTAGGGATGCACTGGAAGTTGCTGCAGCTCTAGGGATTGCGAACCTATGGGTGGACGCGTTATGCATCGACCAAAGCAACTCTGGACAAGTCGAAAGCCATATGGACGCAATGGACAGAATCTATGGATCTGCTGTTCTCACCATAGTGGCTATTGCTGAAAATGCTGACTTGGGTCTTCCGGGCATTAGCCTGCCTCGTGGACCTTCTCAGGCGGTCTTCGAATATAACGGAACTCGCTATTTGAGTTCTAAACCGACATATGGGGCTGCCATAGTAGACTGTCCATTGGAAAAGCGCGCTTGGTGTCTACAAGAGAAGTTGTTCTCTGCCCGACTTCTGGTTTTCACCGATGCTCAAGCTTTCTATCACTGTGGTGCCGCGACGTGGTTCGAGGATACGATCATGGAAACACCGGAAAGCAACTCTGGCACTGTACTCAATAGAGAGAATATGCGTGGCGGGAGGAAACGCCGAATGGAAATGGTCGATTTCTTAGAGCACACCGCGTACGATACGTACAACACCCGCCACACTGCCCTCGAAGACAGGAACTTTTGGTCGCTGGTTCAAAGTTACAGTCTGCGGAAGATGACCTTCGAGGCCGATGTGATACGCGCTTTTAGGGGAATCCTACGATCTGTAGAAGCACAGCATGGTCGTGCTATATGGGGAATACCTCAATACCACTTTTTGAGAGGCCTATCATGGTATCACGACGTGCATCAGATGGACTTACGCCGAGAGGGATTTCCCAGCTGGAGCTGGGTGGGATGGCGCAGCAGTGATAACTACCTGCGCTTTGCGAACTGTAAAAGGAAGGACACCGACATCGGAATCATGGATGGTCGATACCGCGTTACTCGCAGCAAGCACAATGGACGTTCTGTATGGAGCCTCACTTGGTTCTATTACACGACTGAAGAAGATGATGACCAGTTGCAACTAAGGACTGTGCAGCTCGAACCTCAAGACTGCAACACAGACCCTCAGGGTGTTCATCCTAAATCCGCGGCGGCATCACCCGCAAAGACTGAAACCTCAATTGAAACCAACATAGAGTACAGCCATTTCAGTGAATGGGATTTACCTGGTCACCCAAGGAGCGTGGAATCTACTCACGAACCAGTGTTACCTCTTATGTCCAAGCTGGAAATGCCTCCAATATCACACATCCTACGATTCTACACCAGCGTCGCCACAGTTTTGGTTCATCCCAACCCGATCACTAATTCTTGGAACGAGAGGAGGGAATTTCGCCTCCTTATACCCGGCACCGACATTGAGCTTGCCACAGTCGAAATAGACCCACTCTGGTCTGGCATCGGTAACGAACACAGCCTTGTCTATATTTCGAGATACTGCCCTGAGTACTACCGTTATCTAGAGGAAAGTGTTACAGGTCCTGAGAGGCTTCACCTACTCTTGCTTGAGAGCGTACCGGAATGGGGCGAAGTGAAGAGGAGAGTGCAGCTGGTACAAGAAGTCAGTATCTTGGACTGGAGGAAGGCAAATCCAAGATGGGAGTTGGTCAGTTTAGCATGAAATACTCGGGTTCCAAAAGTGACCCATGGCATATTATTGTCTTCTTACTGCCATATCGATTGTCACCACCCCTTATGCGCAATGGGCGGTGACGGCTCTTCGCGAACGACTTTCGGACCGAAAAGCAGACGAATTATGCATTTATCGGGGGTTGGAAGCACCCTACACTAAGTCAAACATAGTTTTGAGTACTTTGTCATCCCAAGCTTCGCCATCCATGATTCCCTTCACCTCGGCCATCCCAATGACTTGATAGCCTTCACCCACGCCGCGGAGTACCATGGGCACCCGCAGACCAGAGATCAATACTATCAGATCACCAGCCTGTACAGGGCCTGGAGTGATCCCCTCATATCCCTTCTCATCTGTTAAGAAGCCGAGTTTCCATTGGCACTCCGCCGCCCAGGTTTCAGTTACCATATCCACAAGTAGTCCTGCGACTCGCAGTATCCTGATCAAATATGTGAAATTAGGCGCTGAATTTCCGGCAGCCTTGAAATGCTGCACCTCCCATCTGTGATACTCTCTGCTCAAATCAGGCACCCAAGTAGGTGTTCCTGGATACGAGGGCAACGAAGCTTCGATTAGTATATCCAGATTGTTCTGCCACTCGACGATGCGTCGTGCAAAACGAAAATAGACGTCAGCAATGGTGCTGTGTTCATATTCTGGGTCGTCCAAGGTGATACCGAGAGCTTGGAATGCGCCATACAATGCAAAAACCTTGTCTCGCAAGTCGGTCGCGCCACGGAGGCGGACGAGGTTGATGTTGTTGATCAGAGCCTTTCGAAGCAGCTGTTGCCTACCTTCGGCAAATCCTTCGGGCGGGTTGAGGAACGCCATTACAAAAAAGAGCGAGAAGATGAGAATGACAAGTATCCATGCATCCCAATCACTGTTTTCCAGTCTCCAGTGATCCCTGTTGAATCGGTATATCGCCATACTAATAACGAGTACTAGCAATGCACGCACGCAAACCTCCTTGAGCACGCGAAATCTTCGAAGCGTCTCTTTCTTCGAGCCCGACGAAAATAGGTTCAGTGCCATCTCGTAGAACCGAGCGTCGCTGTCGTCCCAGCTCTTTTGTAAAAGACACAGCCAGAGGATTTCGATGCACTGCGCTGCGTTGCGCGCAGAACGGACTGTGTCGGTGTTTTCGTGTTCGAAGGCAACGTCGAAGCCGCCCATCAAGTTTCCCCATAGTATTGTCTTTTCGCCGCACATTACGAGAGGAGCGGAGGCCAGGGCAACTTCTTGGACCGTCCAGGTCCTGGTGAACCAGCCTCTACCAAACAAGTCCTGCATCGATTCTGACCTATAATGCATCTCGTGCCCAGTAAACCACCGTGAGCAAAAACGAAGAGCATCTGAGGCAGGTCAGAATCTACTTCACAAAGACTCTGATTTGCGTATTAACTCACAAGCTGTACCGCGTTCTCTGAACCAGGTAGCGACTCGACGCCGCTCTTTTGCTCTCAACAGGTTTGGTCTGTGATTGAACCTTGCTACGGGCCAGTTGAAAGACATCCGGGACACATATTGGCACCAATCAAGTGCGTAGTCGGACTCTGGCGTACTCTCTCCGAGCCACACAATGACTCTGTCAGCTTTCGAATAGATATCGGCCATCATGGCGACCTGATGGCTCTTGTCCTTTTCATCTTGCTGATTAATGCAAATGGCGTCGATCCACAATATCCGTTTTCGAGCGCGGTGTCTCAATTTTAGAAGGGCTTCGTAGCAGTTTTTGGTCACTTGAATGCTTCCACTTCCAACGCCTATGGAGAATTTGGGTTCTGGCGCTCCCCACTCATATGACAGCGCATCGTAGGCCGTAGGATTCTGTAGTGATGTCTCAAGAAGCGAGCCTGATATGTTGCCGGAGGGTTCACTCGGGGGATTAAGATGAAATATTCTAATGCTCTTTCCATGTAACTTCGTGTATGGGGACGTCATGGTATATAATTCTGATTAATTCGTACAAGGAGTGCCATTTCACCCTGAGTCGACTTTGTTCTTTCATAACCCACGAGAAGTCTTGGCCGGAAGCCCAAGACAGAAAACCCTCTGTTCTATGGAACTTTCATTCCAAGCTACCCCTCCTGACACCATCGCCTGGCCAATCATGTGCGTTCGCTCCGTTCTGTCAGCCTATTTGAGGCGCAATCTCGACCAGGCCATGGAGGAGCTGAAGGCGGAATTGACGTAAAGGCAGCGCTTCAGCCTGAGGCTGAGATAATGCAACAATCTTGAGTGGTGTGATGATGGAGCAATGGAGTATAGTGATCATGTGGCCTAGGCTCAGCCCCTCTTTGAGTCTTGGAACGCTAGTGGATACAGATGCGATAAAAAGTAGGGTACTTTTCGGCTCTTTTCTTAGTGAGTATCTGCTATTGCCTAAAATCCAGTATTTGTCTTATTCATCGATATCTCATAGGATCTATCCGCAAGCAGAAGAGGTCCTAGAACAGGGTGTACAGATCAGACACAGCGGGCATGGTAGGCTTCGGCATGCCAGAGATTCAGCCTTGCACTGCCACTATAAACGTCTCATGTTTTCAGATCTGTTACCCCGCCATGCTCCTCCCTTTTGATGTTGGGCTCATCTCGCAACCCTCGAAAACATACAAGTAACGCTTACCTTCACTATTTGAGAACTCTGTATATGTACTGTTCCTACAGTCCTCGTTGAACTGTGCAGTACTATACTATCAAAGCCAGGTAGGCTAGACTCAGGTCTCTCAGCCGTGGTTCATCTAGCTAACGAAGAAGCAGTCCCGCATATGGCACAAATGGACGGCTTTGTCTACGAACCGATTGACCTCGACCGCCCGGCGCTTCGGCTCCTACATTTACTAAGAGGCAAAGGGTCGATCATTGAGTGTATGCTGTATCAGGCCTTCCTCGACGGTGCCGACCTCATTCCATATGATGCTTTATCATATACCTGGGACGGCGCGGATAAGAACTTTACTGTGACAGTCAACGGGAGATCCCTCAAAGTTACTGAAAACCTATACTTAGCCCTTCAGCGTCTTCGCTCAGAACATATAGATAGGGTGATCTGGGTTGACGCTATTTGCATCGATCAAAACAATATGAGAGAACGAGGACATCAAGTTCAACAGATGTGTAAGATCTATTCGCAAGCGGAAGAGGTAGTAGTCTGGCTAGGTGAAGCGACGCAAGAGACTGACGTCCTCATGGGGTCTCTACAGCAACTGGAAAACCACAGCTCAATATATGGATATAAGCGCAGTCACTGGGATCTGTCACAGTGGACCACATTCTGGCTATTGGATTCCAAGGGTCCAGATGTTCAGTTACGCAAAGGCTTAAATCTGCTCTTGAGTAGACCGTGGTTTAGACGAGTCTGGATCTTGCAGGAGATCGCCAATGCGAAGAGAGCAAATATCTGGTGCGGCACCAAGTCTGTTAAGTCACATATCTTTGCTGTAGCTCCATCGCTCATAGGTATCGAGCCAAGACGCCATTGTCAAGCGGTGTTGGACATCATGCCTGGCCGCCTACGGGAGGAGACCTGGTGGAACGAGAATAGAGACCTGTACAACCTTTTGCTGAAGTTCAGCGAAAGCGAAGCAAGTGATCCACGAGATAAAGTCTACGCCTTACTAGGAATATCTTCGGACGCCCAGGATACCGATAGGCTACGTCCAGACTATACGAAACTCCTCCAGGAGGTGATTTACGACACATCTTCGTTCTTGTTCGGACCACAGCATGTTAAATACGGGGCAATGCCAGAGTTTTTAAAGGACCTTGCTTCTCGAAGCGTTGCATTCTTTGTAGAACTTGCAAAGACGTCAGATGTGAGCGAAGTAGACCGTTTCCTGAAGCGGCGGGGTCTCGAAGTGCCATTACCAGAAGACGTGGTCAAAGCCGCCGCTGCAAATGAGGAAAATGGGCAAGAGATTATGAGCTGTCTTCTTCAGCAACGTGGACACGAAATCTTGGTTACGGAGGAAGTGATCAAAGCCGCCCTAGGGAATAAGAAGAACGGCCTGGAGATCATGAAATTTCTTTTCCAGGAACGTAGAGATGAAATCGAAATTACAGGTGGAATAATCAAAGCTGCCGCTGCAAATGAGGAGAATGGGTTGGAGATCATGAAATTACTTAATCGGGACCGCGCATACCTATGGACGATTGAAGAGGAAGTGCTTGAAGCCGCCGCAAACAATGAGAAGAACGGGCTGGAGATCATAAAAATTCTCCATCAAGGAGCTGGAAATCGATGGGAGATTACAGAAGGCGTGATTAAAGCTGCCGCAAGGAATGAAAAGAATGGGTTGGATATTATGAAACTCCTCTATCAGGGACATGGAAATGAGTTCAGGATTACAAAAGGAGCAATTGAAGCTGTTAGAGACAACACGACAAGTGGAATGGAAATCACAAACTTCCTTTTCCAGAAGTTCATCCTCCCATTCAGCATAATAGTCGTCGAAGAGTTGGAAGTAGCCTTGACACACGACGAGGAGGCAAGAGGGCTTCTCTACGACGAGAACACCGACTCTTCCGTCTGCGACGAGAACACCAACTCTTCCGTCTGGTTGATGAGCGATATCGTATGGAAGGCGTCTGCAGAGAAAATTCATATGGCGATAAAGATGCTGCTGTTATACCCAGGCGTCGATGTCGATGTAGAGGGTGGAATGCACGACACTACACCCAAGCCGGATCCATTCAAACGTCACAAGGCGGTGTTGAGGCTGCTACTAGAACCAAAAACCTCCTCCATTGCGCATCGCACATCGAATCCAGTCACACTTTCGGATCAATTATAACAGACGACCACTATGTCATTGCAGTGCAACCTGCGTATCGGAAATACATGAACGAAACAGGCTTAGCTTCAGGCAACAGGACCCATGTGGCTGGCCTTACCATTCCATCTCACAACGCTATATAAACGCGCAACCATCTCCTTGATTCTTCAAGACATCTTGATTCTCTTTGAAGTTTTCTTACTCGATACGCAAGGACATATAGCACGGACCAGAATGCAGGCAGAAGGCGGATGCGGAAACTGCGACGGTTGTACTCGAGTAGAAGAGCAAGCACGACTGAGAGCCGCCCAAGAAGCCGCACGCGAACTTGAAGCACTCAAGACCGAGGAAGCTTCCCATCTCTGCACGGCCGAATCCATCCATCCAGCATGTCCGCTCAAAAAATCAATTCACGAGCCGCTTGCTTGGTCAATCGAATCTACAGATGTCCTGGACCAAAGCAACAGCCCACTATTCACGCTTCTCCCCCGCGAGATCAGAGACATGATTTACAACTACGCCCTCACAGACACAACATCCTATCCCGTGGACCGCGACCGACCCGAAGACCCCAATCCCTTTGCGCGATTCGACCGCGCATCTGGGTACTCTCAAAACTGTGCCGGCATTGATTTGTACGCTTCGGACATCGCTACCCCCCTGCTTTACACATGCAAGGCAATTTACCTAGAGACTTACACCACCCCTCTACGCATCAACCCTTACATCACAGGAGAGCTATCCGTCCAGAGGCAAAAGCGCAACCTGTCAACCTGGCAGTTGGCGCAAATACGTAGCTTGGACATTACGCTCCCGCAGCACGGATTGGAGAACGGGGCCTTGAGGAATTACCTAAATGAGTATTGGAACGCGACTTCAAGGTACCAGGGGCGTTGTTATATCGTACCGGTTAGAGCTATACGCCCATCGGACAGAAAGCGATGCGAAAATCTGGAGTATGCCAACAATAACAACAGTATCTTGGTACCTGTAGCGGGCGGCGACAGTTTGACAAAGAAGAAAAACAAGAAGAAGAAAGATTTTGACCGCCTTATCGACGTTCTAGACAGCACTTCCATCATCATCCCCCAGGATTTCATCTACCCATGTTCTCATACTCTCAAGGTAGCGCCCGCTCAACCTATACGACACATCACACTACGCCTAACGCACAGCGACTGGTGGACACGGGGCAGCCCACCTACTGCTTCCACTGATGAGAATTCAACCACCAGACACCTCCATCTCGACCCAACATTTGGTTCCCACCCAGACGGCCGCCATTCAAACACAAGCATGCGCCTCCGTGCCTCTGAGCGTCTGCGCAATCGGCACCCCCGTCTCGACCCACAGTCCTGGGGCTCGCATATCAAGCAAGCACTTCCGGGTCTCGAGACGTTGGTTTTGGTGCTGGAGACGTGGAAAGTCAAGGAGGAGCAACTCGAGTGTGTGGTGCAGTGTGCGCAGACGTGGAGGTTTTGTGAAGAAGAGGGAGATGGGAAGGAAAAGGAGAAGTGGGCGTTGGTTTGGGATGGTGAAGTGGTGGAGAAACGATGGAGTAGGGGATTGCGAGGGTTGAGATTGCCAAAGGATGCGAGTTGGGCTGATCGATGTAATGATTTTGAGGTGAGGGTTGTGCGGTATGTGAAGAAGGTAGTGGAGGGGTAAGTTTAGCAATATCCTTTCCTCATTCCCCATCTCTCACAACTTGCATTGCCAGACCAAAGAGTCATCTATAAATGGGCATTATTTTTCTTAGCTGCCTACTGGTATCTAACACAAACGCATCCATGCGCGTCCATCTACTAACCGAATAATTACCACCCCTCATCCATCTTGTCATCACATTGATTCGTCCCCAACAAGCGTCTCATCATCCTCGCACCCAAAACTCCAATCCTCTTCACTATCATAGGCATCCTCTATCCCATCAAGACCGAAACCAACATCTTCCTCCGCCATACATATTCGCTCACCCTCTTCATAACGCTCAATCGCTTCTATTTCATTCTGCGTCAAAACAATTGATTCAGGTACCGACAAGGGCGTTGGAGGGAGCAAGAAAATCCGGGGGAAAACACGCTATGATCCGCCGTTGAGAAGATGTTCAATGGCACCTTGGACGTTGCCGCCACTTCGTCGCAGCGCAGCGACATTCCGGTCAAATTCGTAGAAGCCCATTTCGTTGAGCTGCCTGAGTTGGGTCTCGTAGACTTCTTCGGGCGGCCGGTTGTCTGCTGGTGCTGCGGGCGCACCGAAGCCTCCTCCAAACCCACCACCGGGACCAAAGAGTGCGGCGAAGGGGTTGGCGCCGCCCGGTTGTGCTGCGTCACCTGGAGCTCCTGCACCTTGACCGAAAGCAGCGAATGGGTTTGCTCCTGCACCTCCTGCACCTCCTGCACCTCCACCCATCATCTGCATCATGTTGCGCATAGCTTCCGGGTCTTGCATCATCCTTTGAGCTGCCTCGGCGAATGGGTTCGCTTGTCCGCCCTGTGCACCAGCTCCGCCGAATAAGTTGGGAAAGGTGCCTGAAGCATCTTGTGTGTTTGGTGCCGCACCGGTGTTGGCACCTTGTTGCTGAGGAGCGAAAGGATTCTGGCCTCCCGCAAACAGGCTGGCGAATGGATTTGCTCCAGCTCCTCCAGCTCCGGCTCCACCAAATGCAGTGAAGGGGTCTGTGGATCCAGTTGTGTTGGGCTGGTTTGGCGTCGCGGTCGTGCCTTCACCAGTTGCGGTTGAACCTGGTTGTGTTGTGTTGTCTGTAGCTCCTGGGGCTGGGAAACTGGGGCCGCTGTTGCCCATATTCCGCTGCATCTGCAGTTGCATACGCATCATCTCTGGGCTGAACATCATGCGGCGCATCTCTGGGTTTCGGAGGACTTGCTGGAGCATCGGGTTGTCGCGAATCTAGTCAAGTTAGACCAAAGCAAGATAGAGTAAGGGGGGTAGAGTAAGGGCCTGCGCTCACCATAGGACTCTGCAACATCATATCCACCACCGCTGGGTTGTTCATAGCTTCGTTGAGTTGCGACAAAAACATGGGGTTCTCCATCTGTTCTAGCATGGCCTCGGGGTTTGTAGGGGGTCCGCCCATCTACGAACATGTTAGCATGTCCCTGTCGAATAGCGAGCTGGACTGTACTTACGCCACCATCTGGCCCGAAAGTGTCCATTCCTGGTAGGCCGTGGAAGCCAGCATAGCGCGCACCTGTCAGACCAGCGAGCGGGTTGTTGCCTGTTCCGGCAGCAATGTTGGTCGGCACCTGTGGCGTCTGGGTGTTGCCCCCACTGGCTGTACTTGATGTGCCTTGGTTGGCGGGGTTCTGTCTTGCGTTGCTGGCGGCGCCCTTGACAAGGTGAACTGTGTGGCCGTCCTTGATCTTGACGCTAGCGAGTGTGTCGGGGTCTTTGAGTACGCGACCGGAGTATATCAGGCGCTGGCGTTCGGCGGGAACATCTGCGTATTCGGGCGTTGAGAGTTTGGCCTTGAGGTCGGCAACTGTGGTGGTGTTGGGTAGAGTGAGTACGTGCTTCTGGTCGTTTGCAGCCTTGACATTGAAGGTGATTTGCGTGTCCTCGGTGGTTGTGGCGGCGTCGTCGGCCATGATGACTGTTTACGAACGTGGGGGAGCAATGGTAGCGATGGGGACAGTTTGTTGTAGGGGCACCTGGGGAAATAGAGCTGCCGGTTCTATGACTACGGGCAGCGAAGTGATACGTGTCGTAGAGGCAGAGGCGTGTTGACTGGGAGAGAGAGGCGTCGAGGCTATCATTAGCTTTGGATACGATTGGAAGGCAGTAGAACGTCACAGGTGGACCCGCACCTTGTACCCTGCCATCGCTAGCGCGTGTCCGTGCATAAGGCACCAGTTCCGCTTACTAAGGTACGTGAGCCAAGCTCCCGGGTGGGGAAGAGCGACTGGGGAAGCATGCCGAGGTATCTTCGGGGAGAGTAGCTGTCCGCCGTCATGCAAGCTACAACGGCCATGTTGCATACCCGAATTAACTTTGGAGCTCCTGACTGAGTGATCGCTGTTCGACCCTACTACCTTAGCATCACAACTTACATCCAAGCCCACCATGAAAGGCATACAGATCAAAGAATACGTCAAGGTACATGTCCCATCTATCCCACCTACAAACCGCCCATTGACCCAACCCAGGGACCAGAAGACCTCAAAGTCCTCGACCTGCCCACACCCACGCCCAAATCCGACGAGTACCTAATCGCCATCCACGCTTCGGCGACCAATTTCTTCGACCTCCTCCAGATCCGCGGCAAATACCAACACCAACCCGCCTTCCCCTGGATAGCTGGTTCAGAGTTCTCTGGCGTCGTCCTCAAAGCGCCAACCGCCCTCGCAGGAGGCAAGACACCCAAGTTCAACGAGGGCGACAGGGTCTTTGGCGCTTCACAAGGCGGCTACGCAACACACATTGTCTGCACAGAGGAGCGGCTCAAGGGCGTCCCTGAAGGATGGAGTTATGAGGATGCAGCGGGTGTCTTCGTTACAGCGCCGACGAGCTATGCTGGCTTGGTGGTCAGAGCAGGTATCAAGAAGGGTACGTCACTTCACTCCACTCCCCAGCGCTCCTATCCCGTTCTTTGCAGACAGGAAACTAACATTCTCCCTTCTCTCTGACAGGGGACTGGGTACTCGTCCACGCAGCAGCCGGCGGCGTCGGTCTAGCCGCCGTGCAAATCGCCAAAGCCTTCGGCGCGACCGTCGTCGCCACAGCCGGCACCTCGCACAAACTCGACGTTGCGCGTTCCTTTGGCGCAGATTACGCCGTCTCCTACCGCGACAAGGACTGGCCCGAGCAAGTCAAGAAGCTCACCCCAAAGGGCCGTGGCGTGGATATCGTATACGACCCTGTCGGTCTTATTGCTCAGTCCATGAAGTGCACAGCCTGGAACGGCAGACTGCTGGTCATTGGTTTTGCAGCGGGCGACATTGAGAAGATGGCTACCAACCGCATTCTGCTCAAGAACGTTAGCGTTGTCGGCCTGCATTGGGGTGCCTATGCGATAAATGAGCCAGAAATGCAGGACAAGGTATGGGACGGCATCTTCCAGCTTGTCAAGGAAGGAAAATACAGGGGTACTGCTTTTACCGATACCGAATATGTAGGACTAGAGAGTGTGCCTGCCGCGCTCAAGGCGCTGGGTGGACGTGATAGTTGGGGCAAGGTCGTTGTCAAGGTACCGCAAGAGGGAGCAAGTAAGCTGTAGGCTCTACTAGACTCCGTCAAGCCACGATACGAATGACATACTTGGACTGAAACATGTCGATCTAGTCAGCCATACTGTCGTTTGGTCACATTTCACATGCGGCCCTGTGACAAGTAATCCTACTGCTATTCAAAGCTCTCATTCCAAGCTACGTAGGTATACAAAACGGACCAGTGACCCCTTTGTCTTCAGTGATATGCATTTTTCAAAAGCCGAATCAGGCCAATTATAATCGTAGATAAAGTAGCGGAAAAAGGTTTCAACGCCTGGCCAACCTCCGCGGTAGCCTTTATTTCCTCTCTTCATTCATTCTGTCCCCACCAAGAAAAAAAGACAAACGATGAAAAGGGACAAAACGCCATAACCATGCAAAGCAAACTGTAAGCGTCTAGGCTGACTGACTACCACCAAGGGGATTTCTTCCCTGAGGCTGTATTTCGAGTACCACCGGCGAAGGCGGGAACTGTTCTATCTGCGCGAGACGACTAGTCACGCACGCTCAATCCGGAGCGATCGGTAAACATGCGTGTAGCAATGTTCATAGCGAGGAGTTCCTGGAAGAGGAGTTTGGCAGCGTAGGGGATGTGGATCTGGGAGATGCGCGTCTTGTTGTGGCAAGGGCGGCATTCGTAGAGACCCTTCTTGAGTTGTCTGGATTGCTCAGTTAGCAAGCTATCATGAGAAGATGGAGGAATAGAAAGAACTTACGCAATAGGACTCATCAAACCGCAGATATCACACACGTGCACCGTGTACGCATCCGAAACGGTAAAGAGACGTTCCTTCAAAAAGGCGGCGGCACCGTGAGCAATCATACAATCACGTTCCATCTCTCCGAAACGCAGACCACCGTCCCTAGCACGACCCTCGACAGGCTGGCGGGTAAGAATTTGCAGCGGACCACGAGCACGAGCGTGAATCTTGTCGTCGACCATATGCCTTAGACGTTGGTAGTATGTAGGTCCCAAGAAGATTTGTGTTCGCATCTTCTTTCCCGTGTGGCCATTGTACATGATCTCGAAACCACGCTTTTGGTAGCCGGCATCCTCAAGCAGACCGGACACTTGGTCGACGGTGATGTCGGTGAAAGGTGTGGCGTCACCCTCTTGTCCCGTAATGGCACCGACCTTGGAGAGCAGACACTCGATCAAATGGGCAATTGTCATACGAGACGGAATGGCGTGGGGGTTGATGATCAGATCCGGTGTGAGTCCCTCCCTGGAGAATGGCATATCTTCCTGGCGGTAGGTGATACCAATGGTTCCCTTTTGACCGTGACGAGAAGCAAACTTGTCACCAATCTGCGGGACCTTGGTCGTTCGCGTACGAACCTTGACGAATCGGAGGCCTTCGGTGTTGGTGGTGAAGAGCACCTGATCGACGATACCGTTCTCGGTGCTTCGGAGTGGCGTTGAAACATCGCGCTTGGTGTGGAGTGTAGTTTTCTGACCAAGCTCCTGTGCATCGGTTGCGATGGGCGCTGTCTTTCCAATGATGATATCATCACCAGAGACACGCACACCAGGCGCAACGACACCGTCGTCATCGAGCTTGTCGTATGTTCCACCCTTCAGACGGAGGGTGTCGGCACGGGTAGGCTTCTCGAATTGCTCGAGAACGTTGACACCAATACGCTTCTCCTGTTCAGTGTATGCACGGTAGAACAAACTCCTGAACAGTCCACGATCGATACTGCTCTGGTTCATAATGACGGAATCTTCCTGGTTATAACCACCGTATGTAGCAATGGCGACAATGGCGTTCTGACCAGCGGGTAGCTCACGGAACTTGAGGTACTCCATCGATCGAGTAGTTGCCAATGGCTTCTGGGGGTAGTACAGGACGTTCATCATGGTTTCCATGCGTAGCGCAAAGTTGGTGAGCGCAACACCCATGGCTTGCTTACCCATAGCAGATTGGTAAGTGTTACGGGGCGATTGGTTGTGATCGGGGAAGGGGATGATACTGGCACAGATACCGAGAATCATAGCCGGATGAATCTCGCAATGAGTATAGGCATGGATGCGGGGGTCTGGTAGTGGCTTGAGACGTCGGAGACGGTGCTCACCCTCGGTAGATCGCTCCGCCGCCGGCAAGCCCAATTTCATCTCTCGCCACTCCTCCAGATCCTCAGGGGAGAACGTAATCATGGCGGTCTCCTCCTCTTCAGCGTCTAGGTACTCCACAACACCGTCTTGAATAAGACCTCTCCAGCCGTAGGTAGCTGATTCGACCTCATCCTGGCTCCAACCCTGTCGTGTGCTTGTCTCTTGTTGCTCCTGCTTGAGCTTGTTACTGATCTCCTTGGTGAAGATGAGGTGGTTGCGGTTTGGCTTCCGAATGTCGTTCTCAACAACGAACAGTGGTCTCATAACACGGCCAGCATCTGTGAAGATCTTGAACTCTCGGTCACGAATGTCACGAATCAAACTCATCTCATAGGATAGAGTTCCGTTTCGTCGCAGCTCCTGCACAACTGTGACAAGTTGTTGAGCGTTGGAATGGACACCAACCCAGACACCGTTGACGAAGACCTTGGTGGCATCGGGGTTCTGGTTCTGATCATACTCTTCTAGAAGTTGCATGTTTCGTTGTGTCATGAAGTCGATGATGGGAGAAGCGTCACTACCGACACTAACATAGCACATCAAAGACAGGTTCTTAACCAGACCACAAGCCTGTCCTTCAGGAGTCTCAGCAGGGCAGACAAGACCCCAATGAGAGTTGTGGAGTTGTCGCGGCTTGGCCAGCTTTCCATCACGACCAACAGGGGTATTCGTTCGACGCAAATGGGATAGTGTGGAGGCGTAAGTGTATCGGTTCAACACTTGGGAGACACCGGCTTTCGCGGAAGCGGCCTTCTTCTGGTCACCCCAGTTTCCTGTTGCCAGGGAGTATTTCAGACCGTTTGTGATGATGCTGGCCTTCACAGCCATCTGAACGTTGAAATCCTGGTTGTTCTCAACACATCGCTGGAGGTACTTGTATACGTCCTTGGTGAGCTTCAGGAAGAGGATACGGAACAAGTTGGCGACCAAGGGTCCTGCAAGATCCAGACGCTTCTTACCGAAGTGATCACGATCGTCCTCGTCGCGACGACCCAATACACACTGCAAAAGGCGGTGAATCATGTAACCGAAGAAGTAGGCCTTGCGTGTGTCCTGGCCCTCCTTCTGAGAGATATGCGGCAAGAACTCTCGCTGCATAATGTCCCTTGCGAACTTGAGACGCCTGTCCTTGGTACCAGAGTTGGCACCACGCTTGGCGATGAAGTCCAGAGCAGTCTCCCGATCTTGAACAACTGAACCCTCCTCGATACTGGGCTTCAACAGCTCCAGCATTTGTGTGTCGGTGCGGTCGTAAACGATGTGGCTCAGAATCTCCTCGTCCGAAACAATACCAAGCGCGCGGAAGACGATGGCCATGGGTACATCGGCCTTGATGTATGGGAGGGTAGCGTATGCGAAGGGACCAGGGATACGCTTGCCGGGACCAGCGAGCGAGTTCTCTGCCCACTTGATGTTGAAGGACGAGATCAACCGGGTGCCCTTTTCGACAGCACTTCGAATTTCGGCTATCCATGGAATGGGACCCTGCTTCTTTCTGAAGACTTGTACAATGTTCGCGGCACTGCGCTCCTGGGCGATGAGCACCTTTTCACTACCGTTGATGACGAAGTATCCACCCTGATCGTAAGGACACTCGTTTAGAGAGAACAAGTCTGCATCTGACTGAGCGCGCAAGTGGCAGAGCTCTGACCGCAACATGACAGGCAGCTTTCCGATGAACACCCTCGCCGCCGCGCCATCATCCATGGGCATGTCCTCACGCTCCCACCGAATCTGCGATGGTCCGCCTGTGTAACCTCCCTCCATCTCCTCGTCGTCGCCCTCCTCTGGCTCGCGCCCTTCACGGGCGACCATGATTCGGTTTTCAATGTCTGCCAACATGGCACCCGAGTAGGTAAGATTTCGCAGACGCGCCTCGTGAGGATACAGTTGCACCGTGGTACCGTCGCCTTCCGTGTGTGTTGGTCGCGCAAGGTAAACGCGCCCGAATTTGATTTCATAGCGGCGCTTGATAATCGGATTCTCCTCCTCATCGGGGTTGTAGGGAGTGTTCTGCTCGAGGATGACGCTGCCGTTTTCTTTTACAATATCCTGGATTGTATTGCGCGTAAATTCATCGTAAGAGTCGAGCTGCTGCGAGACCAGACCCTTTGTGTCGAAGAAGGAGCTGATGACCGCCCAGCAGTCTTCGGGCAAGACGCGGTTCTCCTCATCCTCGTACTCGTCGTCCATGGGGTCATCGTACTCGTACTGGTCCGCCATGGTCGCGACTGGATGTATTAGGCGCGGGGTGGTGAAGGGTGGTGGGTGAAGGCGGACGTGTAGAGTCCTTGCTGAACTTCATGCGACGGCGGCGACTGCCTCCCAAAGGACGTTCCGAGCTAACGTTGCCGGTCTTAGCGCCGCCACGTATCACGTGATGTGGCTAGTGCAGCTCCACTCTGGAGGATCAATTACAAAGCATCCTCACCGTCTTCTTATGGTCGCACTCGTCTTACAATGAATCAATTGCAGTCACGTTAAGTTGAACCGTGAGTAAGTAGTTCATGTGCTGGCGCTGGTTCGACGGCGGCAGCGTCTGCAGTGGTAATGTCTATATTCAACCATGGTAGCGGCGAAGCATTCTCATCTATTGGGTATGATAAAATATCCTCATCCATTTCATACTATTGAAATGAACTCTGGTTTCACAGCATCTGCATTGCAGTATTCTGTAAAGTCCTTTGCAGCCACATTCCGTGCGTGGATCCCTATATGCAAAAAGTACACCGCCTCTTCCAGCGCTACAAGCCGCCAGTCGCTTCTCTGGGTTCCACTAAGACTCACATTGTCCTTAGATACAGAAAAGGTATCTAAAGAGTCCCCAGATGAGAGCTGCGCCATCAGAACATCTATCTTGAATGCCATGAGCATCCGTTATTATCGTCCCAATACAGCCTTACTAGCCACTTTCGAACTCGCAATTAAACCCCCGTTCTCCCTTCAACACTTCAATCTCCAGGGCCGTCTCTGCCTCAAGGAAAGCCTGTTCCACCACATTCGGCAGCGCATACTTCTGCATCGGCCAGCCACCAGCCTTCACTACGGATTCGCAAGCTGCAATATGAGCGCAAAGAATCTCGCTCAGTCGAACCTTCCGTAAGCTTTGCATCTGAAGCAGGGCGAGTATCCAACCTGATCTCCGCATCATCTCGTGCTCAGGCAATTCTGGGACCCAGGAGAGATATATCTGACCCGTTGCAAATATACCCGAGGGGTATTTGAACCACATCTCCAATTCCCGCAAGTTCAAGGGTAGCAGATGTGTTATATCGCCCCTATCTTCCCACTTCGCACGTTCATAGTGCCCTTTCAATCTACAGCATGATACCGCCTCGAATAGTGCTAGAGCAGGTATACGCAGGATCTCCAAAGCAGGGAAGGCACTAAAATCTGCGCTCATCCAACTTGTGTTGATAGGTCCACCGTATGTTGCATCAGGCAAGATGGTAAGTTTCCTTAGCGTGTGTCGGGTTGGAGAAAGACCTCGAATGCACTTATCAAAAGGGTTACCACCGAGCTCGTCGGTCTTGGGCCACACGAACCGTAGTTTCTCCAGTTTGGGAGCACCGCCGAATATCCGGGCGGACCAGAACGATATATTCCGGGTGTAGTCGATGGCTGTCAAATTCCTAAGATCTACGCTGCGTATCTGTCTGCCTGGCTCCCTGGAAAATCCTGGAACTTGCTGATGTGGGATATTTTCTCGTACGTGTAGCGTCGTGGCTGATGTGCGAGCGAATAGCATCCTAGCCTCGAATAAGTGGCGTGTAGGACAGTCGATGTTGATTCGTTTGACGTTTGCTTGGTTTTGCAACCTGGAGACAGGGTCAGTCTTCGATCTGAAGCATGTCATGGATCAGCAAAATTACATAGGAACAATTCCTTTTTCTATCAGCGAGTACGTTTGATACTTGTCCGGCTGATCCACGATGAAAATAGTCAAGCGCTGTATGCTCTGTACTTTGGCAAGAATAGCGTGGATCGAGTCTCGCTCGAATACGAGGTCCTCTCTGAGACGACAGTCAACTTGTAGAGTCTCCACCAAATCCACAAGGTGCGAGGCGGCTATGAGCGCCCCTAGTAGCATTGAACAACGCCCCGTAGAATGTGCGCTGTGCTGCGAAGCTATCTGGATATCGCGGAATAGAAGTCGCTGGCCCGAGGCTTTGAAGCTACGATGTGTCTTGCATAAAGCAAGCCAGTCGCTCTTGTCGATAAGGTAGGCGAAGATTTTGTCAAGTAGCTCGTTGGCGAAGGCCGTGATCTCTGGTTGAGACATTTGGATGTGATATTGAATGCTCCGGTACAGTTTGGATGTTGAACAGGCGATCCGAGCGGGTGTGTAGATAATTATGCACGGAGAGCAAATTGGCAAGGCAGAAATGGGTGCCTGAAGTACAAATTCGAAGCTAAATTAGAATGTGGCGACCATCATGTTGCAGTCCTGTACGTCGTAGCTCGGAGAATGTCGTGCACTCCCTTTTCATTCAGGTAATCCACATGTCTTTGCGATCTCCCTTCCTCTTGTCCCAAAGTTCCCCCTTCATGATGCCATGGACATAAGCGTCGCCAATGAATTCCCAGGTAGCATCCGTACCTTCACTCTTCTTTCGCAGTATCAGTGGTGTCGTAACACCCCCAACCAGTACCACATGGTCGTCAAGCCGACATATACTCGGCACCAGCGCATTATATCTCGTCTCGGATTCTTCAACGTTAACCATCAAGGCACCCTTCCGATTCATCATATGTCCTACCATCATCCTAAATTCCATTTCAGGATTTACCCAGCCAAAGCGACGAAGTATACGCTCAACTAAGACTACCATAATATAGCAGACCAAAAAGCCGTGAACACGACATGTACGGAAGAGACGCAGGATTCTCTCGCGTTTTTCGAATGCTCTCCAAGCGCTGAGTTTGCTTTCTGGAGTATATACCGTTGTGCCAGCCATAAACGTCTCGTACATGGCCTGGGTTGCACTCTCGCCCGTTGCAGAGTATATTTCTGTGGCGCTTTGTGGACGGAGTAGAGTTTCCCATTCGTGAATCTGGTGCATGGTGAATTGCAGGTCTTTTGCTTGGTCAAGCAGAGTTTGGCGACGTGAAACTTCCCCAATTACCCAAGGGCGTGGTGTAAGCTGTGTAACTTTCGCAACTGTGACACCATACAGTCTGAGCATCTTGGGCAGCAACGACTGCTCCAAATCTTTTATCGGAACTGACAGCGAATTGTACGCCTCGACATCGAAGCCGGGTTCGAAAATGGAGTCCTTCGAGGCATGGTAGTTTACCATTCCGCTAATCACACTAGCAGGCAGCTCGAACAAAAGCAGCGACAATGGCGTTACTTCCGTCCAGCGCCAGTCTGGCACCCAGGATGGAAGTGAACACTGTTCGATTTTTGAATGTCTTTCTTCATGGGAGGTGGTGATAAGACGAGGCACGTGAAGAACCGCTACTTGTGACTTGTGAAGCGCGCGCGCAGCCAAACGAGTGTACACCACTTCCGTAGTCATGTCTTCTCCGTAGTCTGGCTCGATACCAAGCTCTTTCAGTGACTTGTTACATCTCATGCCGTAAAAAGCATACACTTTATCCCTGGGGTCACTAGACAAACAGAATCGATGTCTCAGCAGGGTGACAGGCCAATCGAGGTCGGTGCCAGCCACCCATTCCATCTCACTAAACTTCATGAACGTGATGGTATGTGTCTTGTTCCTCGCATAAAATTCCCACAGCCATGACTTAGTCATGAGAAACAGGTATGCAACTATCAATGACTGGAAGGCTATCATAGCGCTTCCACACATAAACGCCGGTTTTCTGGAAACAATAACCTCCTGCATGATCCAAGCCCGCTCGAAGTAAGGCCGGTCTAAAAGGTTTAGCAACGTTTCAAGTGCAGGATCGCCCACCTTGACCTGAACACGTAGATCTTCCTCTTTCTCTTCCTCTGCTGTGAGAATGTATTGTTTCTGTGCCGCCATCTCATTTTTGTAGGTTACGTGCAGTCGTGAAGCATAATCAAATGCTGTTGCTATTCCCTCGACTTCTAATCCCAACCAGCACACAGTAACAGCGGCCTCCATGTATATATCTCGCATTTTCGGTACGTTTGCAGTCTTCTCGTCATTGTCCATCTGATTCAAGCAAATGCTGTCGATCCACAAAGTGCGTGGTCTTACATAACGCCACCCACGTACCTGATAGAGAAACGGTATTAACGTGGCAGGTATCTCGAGAGTGTTGTCGTTCTCCAGGTCTCGAGGAGGGGCCGCGTTCGTGATGTGTATGGTACCTTTGTGTGTTGGTGGTCCCCAGCAGTATGAGACCGCCCAGAACGCCGGAGCTTTCGATAATAATGTCGAGTATAGTCGACCGGTAATAGGACCACTCGGTGGACCGTTTTGAACTTCCAGCAAGCGTATGTACACATCTTCCGAGTCGCGGAGCATCGGTAGCGGCTGGTATTCATACGGCATACTTCCAAAGTTGCGTGCCGAACGCGGTTGATGACTCTGGCAGTATCGCCCAATATTTGGTGGAAAGCGCGCAAACACCTACTTAGATACCTTTATTACTTGTTCAACCTCGTATATACCTAGGTACCTGTGTGCGCATCGATAGCTAAAACGTGTCACACTCGGTATGCTCATGGGTGCACGCAATACGAAATAAGACCAGTCCAGGCATCTCTTGAAAGCGCCACATCTTTAGCTCGCTTGTTTGTGCCGGAATAGAGAGACACGAGGCTGAATGGAGGTGCGCCTTTGCGGCCGAGCATTTGAGCACTGCGCTATGAATGTGACAATATGAGCGAAGGCTCATACCTCATGCTGAAGCTGGTGCCAGAGTACATGATATGGTACAGGGTCCACTTTCATAGAAAACGCCGTGCCTGCCAAGGCCCATCACGTGATGATCACATGCGGGCATTGGCTCCCCAGGCTATCCAGCCTGACAGTATATCCTTAAGCCTATCTGTTCACTAGTAAGACACGTCACGATTCGGTTCGAGTTTACTCAATAACATATTCCATGAGCCCAGGCCAGCCATCTGGCTCTGGAGGCACGCGCAATCCGGACGCGTGTCTGGTAAGACGGGAACTTACCTATGTACACTATGCAAACCCCCAAGACCCCGAGATGCACACTAAGAGGTCCGTACCAAGGTGTTCAACGTGAGACTGACCTCCGATTTACGAGGTTTGCTACCCCACCATGATGCACGCCGATATAGACCCTAGCTTCCCTACCGTCTCCACCGATCCCTCACCCCTTCACATGCACCGCCTCCTAGCGCCGTCATCGCCATCATCACACCAAGAGCTCCTGATCTGCCGCGGGTCAAGTTCAGCAGTTCGTGCAACATGTTACAGCGCGGGCGCCTTGCCCGCTCCAAACTTTGTCGGCCCTTCCAGCTATCGACCCCGCGTCACAAGAGCAAGTCGATGAAAGTTGGTTGGCTAGCTTTGACAACTCTACGCTTGGCTCGGAAACTGACCATTATGAGAGGTTCGCAGCATCTAGGGTGGCCAGACCAAGCCCGCATTGGCTGTATCGAGCTGCAGACGCCAGCCTTGGGCTTCATCTGATGAACAAGTAGCTACTTTTAAGGGTGACTCCTCTTCCTTTGTCGTCAGATCCGCCTTCCTCCGGGCTGCGCGCTCAGGCGTGAACACAACACCTTGATCAAACCACTCTATAACCCCCGAGCCATACATTCCGTTGCCTCTGGGTCACTACATGCGCGCAGTTGGTGATTGCGCCACCCGTAATATGCACGCAGCTCAATCGGTCCACATCGGAGAGCCAACCTGCTGTACATACGCAACATCTCGAATTACTCTTAACTCTTAGTCCCATCTTCTTCTCTTAGGGGGCCGCGTTATCCAGTTGTTATTATTATGTCGAGCAACAACACCGAGGAAGAGGCGCCAACGGGAGCCAAAAGCGGTACTATTGTTGTCGCTATCGTCGTACCCTCAGTCTTGATCATCCTACTTCTTGGACTGATCATCATGTCAGTAGTCACACCAGTAGGATAGAGAGCTTTAAGCATGTCTAAGCTGACGATAGGAACCGCCGCAGGGGCTCCATTTTCCGACCATGTAGCCGCGCCGAATCTGGTAGCAAAGAGAAGCGCTGGAAAACGCGACAAGACGAGCTAGAAAGCCACATCAAATCTCAGAATTTCTATGATTGGCTCGCAAGTCAGAAAGAGAAGTCCGCTGTTACATCACAACCACACGATCCACTATGGTGAGTATATCAAATGAGCTTTGTCAATTGAGCAGATGGACTAACTGTGGGCAGTGCCATCTGTCTGGACGACTTTTCCGACGATGCGCAGGTTCGGGGCCTTCACTGCTCTCACGCCTTTCACTCACGTTGTCTGGACGAATGGTTCATAAGGTACAACGAATACTGTCCATTGTGTCATCGACCAATAATACCGGGCTCTCGAGCGTCGAGGAGAAAAGCTCGTGAGAGACTGGATCCGACCTTTCCAGTAGTCTTAATGGTATAGATGCTGAGATGGACAAGCTAAGATGTGATTACGACTCCGTTTGGTTGTTGAGGTTTCGGACAAACACACACAAGCCTGCATGGACCTGCTTGGCAGCATACGTCTATCAAGAACAGTCATGCCTGAAGAAGAAGCTCGTTTCGAACTTCGAATTGCTGAATATCCAGCCATGCACAGCTAGAGCTTCGGGGTGGAACCAGGAAGCGTAAGAAGATTCTGGACCCTTCGCCTACACGGGAGCATCCGAGCAGAAGCCACCAACGGCAAACTGCCGGTTCCCCAGGATTGCCTAATTGCTTTTGGGAACTACTACAAGGGTCAATCAAACGGTTCGGGCAAGAGCTATAAGCTTGTGGGTCGGCATGGGTCGACTCAAGACATGGAGTGTCTTGTGAGCGTTGAAGAGGATTTGATCGAGCGCAAGGATACTGCCACACTGAAGAAAGGGAATCGATCTGCAACAATATGAGGAAGTGGCAAGATGTCAAAGTCCCAAGATAGTGATAGGGTGCATTGCAGTGACATCTAGACGCGGATCGACACGGTCTGGTTCTGCTGATAGCACTGCATCCAAATAACGAGAAGAAGAACAATGCTACACAGAAGCCCTGAAGTCTTTCAAAAGCCTCACATATCATCTTTACAGGCCTTGCCAGCAGAGAAGAAAATTGCAGAGTTGTTGTGGTAGTCTTCAAGCATGCTAGGTGCCGCCCAGGTGCTATTCGTGGGGCAACCGAGACCGCTAGCGGGAGCGCCATTGGCTTCCGCTTCGACATCGCATGGTGTCCAGCACTTTCAATCCACCCATGCCACCTGCTATGCTATGATTCTCAGGCACATGGGACAACAGCTCTCCGAAAATGCTGCGAGAAAAACGCTGCTGTGGCTAAAGATCGCGATGAGGCGCAAGGCGCACCGTCGCTAGCATGAATCCGGACACGAAGCGGGGCCCAGGGAAATGTCACGCCACCCTCAGGTGGTCTGATCAGTAACTAATCTAGAACTGCGCGGAACCTGGCACAGGACAACTTCCGCACAATTGCTGTACCGAAGTCCCGTAACGAGCGACGAACCTTTCCTAGGCTTCTGGCTATCCTTTGCCCCTGCCACTCTCGATTTTGCATCTTCGTGAACCCCTGGCCAGTCGGGAGATCATACCTCAGACGAGCGCTACCACGAAACATTGTGGACTTCGCCTGGAGTTACCTGCAACTACTGCCAAGCAGTTACCTTGTGTCTTACTCACCATCTTTATACGACCGCCAATCCCGAGTAAAACCCAGGGAAATTCTCTTCAAACGCCTGGCTACATCTTCGCTCGTCAACCCATTCTGAGTGCTGACGACTGTCTCTTGATCTTGACAAAAACGGAGGAAGTGCTTGCGCTTATATCCTCGACCCCAGCCGGCTCTGATCCTGCACCTTGCCTGCTAGTCTCACGTGTGGCTTGGCCAGCGCACCTTAGCGATTGTATCTCCTGATCAACGCGTGAGCTCTTCCGTGCAACAACCCACCTGCGGACTATCATCATGGCTCTCAATTGGGACGCATTCCTCAATACTGAGGGTTTCAACCTACCGAACGACCAATGGTCCGATCTTTTACCACCTACGTCTGCCCCTCCCAACTCCCAAATGCCTAAATCCACCACCACCGACACGTCAGGCTCTTCACCTGAAGACGTCACCAATTTTGACTCTCTTCTCGGAGGAACATCAGGCGATCCTTACTTTGACGACTCCCTGTTCTTATCCAACGATTACTTTCTCGGCGACCTTGACGTCCTCAAGCCCTTGGGCAACAACGTTGGTGGCGGCAGATCAACCACCGAGTCGTCACCCGAGCCTACAGCAGGCACTGGTAACAACTCACAATCTCATACACCGGCATCGCTGGTCGACCAACTGAGCCAACAATTACCCCACATGTCACCCGCTCAGAGGCAAGCACTTCAACGTGCCAACACCTTTCCTAACCCGGGCTACGAATCTTTGTTTCCCAACAATCTGGAATCCGGTTTCGTTGAAGACCTCACCTTCCCAGACGGCCCGAAAGGATCTTCAACCGCCACCAAGCCGGGACTTGAGAGAACTCAAACAACAATAACAGCAAACACTATTACAAAGCGGACCAAGAATAAGCCAGACATACTCTCGGCTTGTTGGACATCGCCACTATGCCCTAATCATGACCAGATCGATGGCACACCACCTAATCCGTCGACGTGTGGCGGTGGGTGTGCTCCTTTCTTGTTCGCCGACCAAGATGCTCTTCCAAGCATTAGCAACCTGCTCTCAGACCCGCAGGAAGTCACCATTGAGGACGGTGTAGTAGAAATTCAGCGGCGGCCCAAGAAACGATCTGAAAGCGACGCGTCAGCAAACGGCTTCTCAACACGTCACTCTAGAAACGATGAATCTACCACATCGCCGACAGACGATCGGCAACGGATGAAGAGCGAGACCACAGAAGACAATTCTACAAAAGCGTCGCCTCAAGATGCCGACGATGAAAAGCCGAAATCACGCCGACGACTGCCGCACAACCAGGTCGAGCGGAAATACCGGGAATCACTAAACACGCAACTAGATTCTCTCAAGCGTGTCGTGCCCTCCCTCCAACAAAACAACCGGGCATGCGACGGCGCCGACATTGAGGACCTTCCCACACCCTCGAAGCCTAGCAAAGCAGTCATTCTTGCATCTGCGACTGCCTACATCAAGCAAATGGAGAAGGACAAGAAGAGAGTGGAAGAAGAGAACCAGCTGCTCCGAACAAGGGTCAAGGCCCTCCAAGCACTTGTCAAGTGCGACGACTGCAGCCTGATGCAGTACGTCATGGATCTCAAGATCAAGCAGGCGAGTTGAACAACATCGTGGTCTCTTTGCTTCTCTATCCTTGGTAGATAAGATGCTGGCATCTACACAGCATTCATTCGGCGTTTGGTTGGGTCACGGATGAAAACGTAAAACGCTCCATGTCAACGGTTACAGCTTCTTCAATCGATAAGATGGTTGCTTGTTCATTTCACGGCCGACTTGTACTGGATACATACAGCATATCGCTGTTATATAATGATGGTGTTTGGGACTAGGACGGTATGCGCTTAGGCAAGAGCGCTCCATGGCGTTTGTGTGATGTGTTCGCTCTTTTGCGACATTGTAGAGTCTCTACCGTAGTTGAATGAACGGTTTTCACACTGCTGTTACAACATCCCGCAATACGCAATGTGCAACTGGAGAATAGCGAACGGCCAGATCTGCTTTATGAACTCATCGCATTATCACTATTTCCTAACCAGATACCGTTCTCGATCTTCCAAACGAGCCATACAAGAAGGAGGCGAGATTCCTATTATATACCCTTTATCCCAAACGCCAGAGAATCGCAAAAGGCCACCGGTCTTCACCATCTTTTCTGTCCTGCTCTCAATCTGCGCTTACCTCCTCGACCTTCACTTCAACACCTTTCGCTTTTGCATCCTCGAAATTGGGTGCTACATATCCGTCTTCTTCTACAAATAAAACGACTAGTCAGCCTTTCGTTCGTCTTCTTCATGAGAGGTAGCAGAGGGTTGAAGTGGAAGACTTACGCATCCGACATTGTATGTAGCCGATTGGGTAGATTGGTCCGTCCCATCGATCCCAGCCTTCTTCGTAAGATGTTATGGCGGCTTTCTCAAGCTCGAAGGCGAGTTCTGCTGCGGTGGGTGTAGGTAGAGTTGTAGCGGACATCTTGGTTGAAAGCATATTCGTGGTTGTAAACGTTGATATTTGCAAGTATCCAATGTAAGTAGGTATCGTTGTTGCTGGTTTATTTGGTGTTTGAAGATATGATTTTGTCCTCTCCAGAACGCGGATTAAGTAGTCCTTCTTAGAAGTCGCGACTCATGATGTTGGGAACGAACATCTAGCACGTGGTGGTGAGACTTCTCACTTAGGCAATGTCAACACGGGGTTCAGCAGCACACGCGACGTCGTATTCGCCTCAGTGAGCATTCTAGACATTCAGTATCACACTATCCCGCGAAATCAACCCGCGCGTTTTCTCCGCATGGAGAATTTGGTCAAGGGAATTTCTAGATGCAGGGTTCGGGACGTTGCGGGGGGTGCGTCTCGTATGGTGGCGAGACCGGCTGCTTCCGCCCGGGCGCGCGCCGTCACGCCACTTGTCTCCCCACCCGCAGGCTAACGCTGAGGGTGTCCTGCTACGAGGGCAGATATCTGTCGATCAGAAGTGCTTGTGCATGGGCTTTCTGGTGCTGGATTGCCTGTGTATCACACGATATTGCTAAGCTGCATCAGGTCATATGCGTCTCTTAGTAGGAGGATGGCGTACGTTAAATGGTAACGATGGTTCGCGAGGCTGTAGATTCACATCACACGCATTCTACTACATCTACACTGCACTATTAGCTACCAGCGAGCAACATCTTCGGTCACTTCATTGATACCCGAACTACCAAGATTTACTCAACCACTACAATCACAATCGGAAGCAGAGGACAAAGATCGACCTACATCCCACAACACATGTCACTCTACCCAAACATTCTCGACATCTCGGCCTTCAATACCATGCTTGCGCAACACCAACACCAGCAGACCCAAACGTCTCATTTACCGCCTTCCCCCACCAAAACTACGCACACGCCACACCCAGGTCACCAAATAACACCGTACCACGTCTCCGAAGCGGTCCTAGACTTCTTCTCGCACATGTTCGCACCTGCGTCATACCAGTCGTGTACATGCTCGACGCCGTGTTGGACCCCAGCATCTCCTAGCACCGACGCCTACGTTGTAGCCTCGGGGCACGATAAGAAGCTTAAGATTGTGGTTGACGACGACATCGTGGTGCTGGAGGACGAAGATGATGGAGGACCGTTATGTAGGGAGGCTACCATTGCGAGCTGGAAGGCCGGAGGAAAGAAGGAAAGGAGAAACAGTAGTAGGAGAAGGAGCCTGCAATGGTTGGCGGGTGTGATTGGGAGGGAAGCATAGAAGGAAGTGTGAGAACGCTCAGGAACGAAGATAAGAAATAGAAACGGGAGTGAGAAGGTAGTCAAGTTGAGGAAATGTAAATATAATGGCAGGACTTGATTCATACTCTAGATACACAATCGACATCCTCTCGACCACTACAAGTGTGGTTGTGTACACTATCTTGAGAAGAATCTCCGAGTGCTCCTTAAAGTAACAACCTGTCTGGATGGTGTTTCCGTATTGAAGACCGAAATGACTGCCCAATCAATTCTACCTAGCTACCCACAGGCCGTGCACGATGGAGAATCTCGGCACTCTCCAACAGTTGCCCATGTTCAAACTAGTTTCCCCTGTATGGCGCATGGTGCACACACGAAAAGATGATTACAACAGAAGACAGTCTTAAGATACAAAGGCAGAGATTGATTCACAGTATGAACGACTAACACAATTCTCCTAGTAAGACACCATGGTTCAAAGGAACTCCCGAGATGCGTTCGATCGCTTTGATGTCCTTCGTTTCCTACTCCCTCATACACCCTCATAGATAAAGAGTAGCCAGTCAAGTTACCCTGTCAATTTTTATTTTTTTTGCAGTCTATAGCCTCAACCCACACGGTCCAGTATGCAAAACATCAGACCACGACCCATTGCACATTTGGTATGGATGCGAAGTGGACCAGTCGCCCGACCGCCTTCCTTGTTTCATTTCTCTGTGTGCCGATATCCAGAGACGCTGAGACGTACCAGCAAGGAGCTCAGAGGTATTCGAAGAACGTGGGAGGTACAAGTGAGAATTCATGACTGCGCCTGGAGATACTCGATGAAAATGGGGGAAAAAGATTAATCATGAAGCCTGGAAGTATTTGATAAGAAGCTTCATTTGTAAGCAACCAACATGTATGAGCCATCGGATTGTTGGAGCCCATTTTTGCAGAAGATCGCTCTTTGCCTTTGCATAACGAGTCCCCAAGATACGCCAGCGAGCATGGTACTCCATCCCCTTAAGGCGACGGATATGCATTCACTGAAGTGAGAGGCAAATGTAGCAGGTACGCTACGTAGTCATATTGGCAAACCCGGATCGCTACGCCCTTGTTCAGTTGCGCAGATACGTTGCACAGTAAGACCATGTGATAAGCATGGCAGCGCTGACGCATTATCCAAATGCGGCTTCGAAAGCCGTCCAAGGAATGTTGCATGTCGAGCAAGAAGAAAAGAAAGAAAGATCGCCAACCCCCAACGCTCGTCACCGTCTTTACCGCCCGAAGTTCTGCCCGTCTTAGCGTCTTGGCAGCAAAAAGCGTAGTCACTGCTCAGTGATGATTGGCTAACTTCACTATTTCCGCCTCCCCCACCCATTACTTTAGATGGAAAGGTCGCGTTGAATTATTGGCATTACCAACGCGTCCAAAAGCTCAAAAAGCCGACAACAACGACGATTCGCAACTTTGCGAAGCCGGAGAGAAAAGGGAAGAGAAAAAAAAGACGGCAAGCAATATGAACACAGTCGAGCGCGGAGCCATGGGGGAAGAAAAGGATATAAGACTAGGAGATGGGGAGCATAGACATGCTACAGATGTGGAAAAAGCTGGCAACGATGGTGGTGACATGATGGGAGGAACACCGTCCACGAAACCCGACCTACCTCCTCTAAAAGGCCTATCATTCCTCGACCGCTTTCTGGTAGTATGGATCATTCTCGCCATGGCCGTTGGCATCGCCTTGGGAAACACCGTCGATTCCGTGGGTCCAGCGTTACAAAGAGGAGAATTCGTCGGCGTCAGTATACCAATCGGTACGTCTTAACATCTTACAAGTCCGCATCCATCTTAGGATACGGTCGCAGGTCAACTGCTAACAACATTGTGTGCACAGCAATCGGCCTTCTAGTCATGATGTACCCTATCCTCTGCAAAGTCCGCTACGAAACTCTGCACCTTCTCCTCAAGAAACGCGAACTCTGGATCCAGATTGCAGTCTCGTTTGTGCTCAACTGGATCATCGCACCTCTCTTCATGGTAGCACTCGCTTGGGCTTTCCTACCCGACCGGCAAGACCTCCGCGAAGGACTCATCTTCGTGGGCATTGCACGTTGCATTGCCATGGTCCTCATCTGGACTGATCTGGCGGGCGGCGACGGCGATTACTGCGCCGTCTTGGTTGCATTCAACAGCATACTGCAGATTGTCCTGTTTGCACCGTTTGCCGTGTTTTATATCCAGGTTGTCAGCCATGGAGATAAGACGGATATAAGTTATGAAAAGGTCGCGCAGAGCGTGGGTGTGTTCTTGGGCATCCCGTTGGGTGCTGCGGTACTCACGAGATTGGTATTGCGGTCCTTGTTGGGAGAAGAACGGTACCAGCGCCGCTTTATCCGCTATGTCGCACCGCTTTCACTCATCGGGCTGTTGTATACGATCATTGTTCTTTTTGCTAGCCAGGGCGCGCATGTAGTTCGGCAGATTACGGATGTGCTAAGGGTTTGCGCGCCGTTGTTGGTTTACTTTATCGTCATCTTTACGAGTACAGTTTGGTTTTGCTGGAAGATGGGATTTAGCTACAAAGTCAGTTGCACGCAGAGCTTCACAGCTGCGAGCAATAACTTCGAGCTGGCTATTGCGGTAGTGGTTGCTGTGTACGGGGCGGGTAGTGGGCAGGCGCTAGCGAGTACAGTGGGTCCATTGATTGAGGTCCCTGTACTGGTGCTTCTTGTATATGTTCTCAAGTGGATACGGAAGAGATGGCAATGGGTCTAGACTCTAGACCTTGGTAGCAGTGTATGATGATCGGAATAAGACATCCACCACCATGTAAGCTAGCCGTTGAATCAGACCTAGCACTCAGTCGTGAGGGAGGTACATTTGGAATGTTCCTTGAACGCTTGTGCTGGTGTGCCTTAGTGACATGTTTGTCGGGACGGTCCAGCAATGGAACGCTCTGTCGAGGTTCCATCGTTTGTAACAATCAATGTCTAGCAACCAGTCATGTACGAGCGGAGAACGTACCGAAGTTCTTTTCTATACACTAAGCATATACACCAGCATCATTAGTCAACCACAACCAGTGTTAGACCAACGTGGGCCAGGGTGTAAAATGCAACTCCACAGAGTGAGATGGGTTTGACGTTCGGCTCCGAACACCGGTTCTTGATTTGGATAAGATTGTGGTCTTTTGCTCGGGCGGTGAGGAAAACGTCAATCTCAAATCGAGTCGGGTAGATATCAACCGGTGGCTTATACAGCAGGATAACGCATCGATTGTGCATGATTGTACCCACAATCTGAATCATAGGGGATATAATTTTGCAACGCAATCGTGGCTGACGCGTGGGTTGTAGTCTGTACGTCAGTGTCCAGCAAGGAGATGCGGCTGGTGGCCGAAACGACTTTGACATTGGATCTTAGGGGTAACGGATATACGCACTACGTCGGGGATCGCCCTGGGGGGTGCGCACTCCCAATGGCCTTTGTGAGTTGTACCATCATCGTACATGCTGGGACGGGCCATGACACGGTGAGGGCCGCCTAAGATGCTGCAAAGGTTTGCGAATCGAGACTTTGCGGCATACGCCATGTGCGAACACAAGATAACGCGGCCGGTCGACAAATACTGTCGTGTATGACAATCGAATGGGCATGCACGGCATGTATGCTGACTCGTCATTCCGCACGCAGAATTGTCGCGCGTGTGTCTTGGGGGACATGTAGGCAGATGCAATTTGCCATGTGCAGGAAGTTCTCTCGAAAAGAGATAGCGGCGGTAGAGTATGGAGAAAGGCATGTCGTGCATGGACAACGGGCGCCAAAATTTCGGTCTTCATTGAGCCGCGTGGTGAGGCCCTATCGTGATGAATTTCGCTAACCGCCGTGTCCCCAGTCAACACACAGCGACCTCGGATAACCTACACCTACTCCAGGCGAGAAAGAAAAGGCAAGCGGCGCCGAGAGTCATTCCGCCTGCTGGAAGAAAACGGGACATGACGTAAAGAAGGACCGTAATTCGGCGCGCACGCTGACTCTGCGTTGGCAAAAGTTTCCGATTAGAGATATCCTGCAGACGGATTATGCTTCTCGGGCTGTGTGTGTTTCGATGATGTCGATTGTGCAGGTGCAATATGTCTGGAACACTTTGACGCGCCTGAAACACCTTTCTGAGGTGTCGGGCAGGCCCAGGCCATGATGCTCTGTCGTCTCAGAAGCCTGGAATGTAGCCCCACGCGCGCTTCATTCTGCAGCCGCGGGCGAATGCCGTCGCGCGATGTGCTGTATCCCAGGCTGGACCCATGCGTATAACGGCAGTTTCTACCAGCATCGACCTTGTTGCAGGCTGTCGAAAGAGGGGAATGTCTCGCTAGAAGGCCGTTCGGCGTACGGCGTCGTGTTTCGAGAATGTTGAGTGGGTTGATGGTGGAGGGAACAATGGTGTTCATGCGGCATCGACCGGCAGGCGGCTCGCCAGTCACTTTCCTTCCCAGCCCTATGGAGAGTCCCAGTAGACCGGTTCAGCCATGTTAGCGACGACCGTGTTTCACTCTGCCTTGCTATGCTCATCCCCGCACTCTTGTCGCCCTCGCCATCATCTGAGCCTGTTTCTTCTCTCTCCAACCCTGCAGCCGCCCCTTGCAAGGTTGCATCGTGGATGTTTTATGCTGGTGTTGTGCTGATAACTGAAACTGCCCCTCTGTGCCTGCAGGCCTGTCGCTCGCTACCAGGTCACCGCCGTCTGGATCGTGGAGCTGACATAAGACCCTGGCGGCATCTTCCTGGCAGCCAGCTGGCGACGTTGTCATCTCCACTTGCCATGTTCTCGCTCGCGTCTCAGTCCCTTGGGCATGTCGTAACATCGGAACTATTGTTTGGTTATGATGATGGGAAAAAAAGTCTGCTCGCTATTGACAGCGTGCATTAGGTGCACGATGATCGCCTTCTAGCTACACTCAGTAAACAATTCGCGGGTCTGGTGTATAGTCTCCCGTGCGGCGCAGTTCTCTAGACGGCAACTAGGAGCGAATTAAG